TTTTATAAATATTTCATCCAAGGTGAAATTACTCTTGATCATTTCTAGGTCAATGTGTAGACTAGAAACAAAAGGAAAATTACTATAAATAATACAAATGGCAAATATTTATCTTTTTTATGCTTCCTACTTTGAGTAGTAAATTACCCTTTTTTCTTGTAAGTCTTGATATTTTTGAGATTTATAGATGGTAATTAGTGCTTCAAACTTATAATTGATATGATTTCAGATTATAGTAGAACTCTGGCACAATTTTATTCATAAATGTCTAATTAGTTAAATAATATAATAGTTTACTCATGGAACTGATTTAATCTGTGGCATTATGAAATTTTACATGTCTCCCTAAAATTTTTCAAAACTGCAATGGCTTAATTTTGTGCTCCATTAAACAATAATGTGAGTATGACTACAGTTTCTCTTTAGGACAGTACATTTTACTATAACTTCCTCTTTCTCTTTTTTGACATTTCTCATACATTGTGCTGGAAGGATAATATGCTTTCATTTACAGAAAAATATTTGAAGTAGTACAAAGAATGAGTGAAGAAAGATGAGAAAGAACACTGTCAGAGACAGAGAACTCTGAATCTACAGAGGATGTAATAATAGTGAAATGTATACATAGTGTGTGCAGGGTGCTGAGTTTGTATCCCAACAACCCTAAAAAACACTCCAGAAAAAAAAAAAAAAAAAAAAAACTGTAACTGCTGAAAACTTTTACAGTTTACCCAAAGATCAAAGGTTACCACAGTGTAAACTCCTCTGACTCTTTACTATTTCCCTTTAAGTACAGATGCAATTAAAAAAAAAAAAAAAAAAAAAAAAAAGCCCATTGCAGTAAATAGCCAATATTTCTGCAGTCTTTCTGACGATGCTACACCGGATTTCTTAAACTCATGTAAAGGATTGACTTAGCATAAATGGCCCAGATAGTGTAATCTTCTAACTCAGTTAGTTGATTTGATTATTGTCCAAATAGTTATTAACTAAGCAGGCATTTTGTGTTAATGCTGGAGGGCTACTAATGTAACAAATGTTGTCTAGATTATATTAACAGAAACAAGCTTTATAAATTTTTGTGCTTTTGTCTTTTATCTTTTCTTTTTGAACCCCAGGCTCCACACATGCTGAGCACATGTGTTACCACTTAGCTATATTATCAGCTCCTAGATTTTTCTAATGAGTGTTTATTAAACCCTTTAACCATCAAGTTGTAACCACAGACAGAAAAAATATGTATAAAAGTATAATTATATCACTGTTGATCATAATGCAGGAAGAAAGCCCACAAAATTATTAATATATAATAGTAAGAGATTTTCAAGAAGTGCTTTTCTGTCTGATCAGTTTATATTGATTTTATGTAGGGTACATTATAATTGCATTTTTTTATAATTTATATTTTTATTTTACATATCGAAACCAGTTCCCTCTCCCTCCCTCCCTTCCTCTTTCCCTCTCTCCCACTCTCATGCACCCCTTCCCCCCCACTCCACATGTAGGGTGATTCCCTCAAGGAGGAGTCATCTAAATCTGTCAAGTCATTTGGAGTAGGGAATAGGCCTTCTCTCCTGTCTCTAGGTTAAGGCAGTATCCCTCCATGGGGGATGTGTCCCCAAAGTCCTTTTGTGCACCAGGGATACATCCTGGTTCCACTGTCCTAGGTCCCTTAGACTGCTCATGCCATGCCTGCTTGCTTCTTGGGTCCATTTGATTAGAAGATCTTTCCCCAACACTTGCCCCTGAGGTAATGTCTGTCTTTGAAGCTTAGATGTATTTCTTATATGCAGCAGAAGGATGGATTCTGTCTTCATATCCATTCTCTTTTTTTTTTTATGGGAAATTTTTTTAATTTATTTTATATAACCAAGTCCATTTAAATGAAAACAAACATTTATAGACAATATTTGGGAATTTGGGCGTCATTCTTTCCAAACTACTTCCTGCTGGTAAGGGGTGCTATCAAGGGGATTCGAATATACCCTTGGGTTGTGGTGAAGTGGGATTTTCTATTACCTATATCTTTGTGAGCATAGTTAACTTCCTTGGGTTGGAGTTTTCCTTCCAGAACTTTCTGTAAGTCTGGATTTTTAGATATGTACTGTGGAAATCTGGCTTTATCATGAAATATCTTGTTTTCTCCGTCTATAGTGATTGGAAGTTTTGCTGGTTATAGTAGCCTGAGCTGGCATATGTGGAGTCTTAATACTTGCAGAATATCTATCCAGGACCTTCTAGCCTGGAGAGTTTCCATGGAGCAGTCAGGTGTAATTTTGATATAGTCTGCCTTTATATATTACCTGGCCTTTTTCCTTCACTGCTCTTAACATTCTTTCTTTATTCTGTATGTTTGGTATTTTGATTATTATGTGCCGAGGGGTGTTTTTTCTTTGGTTCTTTCTATTTGGTGTTTAGTAAGCCTCTTGTACTTTCATGGGCAAGTCTTTCTTCAGATTGGGAAAGTTTTCTTCAATGATTTCGTTGACTATGTTTTCTGCACCTTTGAGCTGGGCTTCTTTGCCTTCCTCTATGCCTATTATTCTTAGGTTTGGCCTTTTCACAGTGTCCCACATTTCCTGGATGTTTTGTGTTTATGATTTGTTGTATTTAAATTTTTCTTTGGTTGATGAATCTATTTTCTCTAGTTTATCTTGAGCACCTGAGATTCTCTCTTCCATCTCTTGTATTCTGTTGTTTATGCTTGTGTCTGTAGTTCCTGATCATTTACCCAGTTTTTCTATTTCAAGCATTCCTTCAGTTTGTGTTTACTTTATTGTCTCTATTTCAGTTTTTAAGTCTTGATCTTTTCCCTTACCTGTTTTATTGTTTTTTTCTTGGCTTTCTGTACTTTCTTTAAGAGATTTGTTCATTTCTTGCAATTTTTTGTTTGTTTTTTCTTCTATTTCTTTAAGGGATTTCCTCACATTATCTTTGAAGGTCTCTATCATTTTTATGAAGATATTTTTTAAGTCATCTCTTCTGCTTCATCTGTTTTGGGGCCTTCAGGTCTAGTTAGTGTAGAGTCCCTAGATTCTGGTGGTGTCATGCTTGTCTTTCTATTGTTAGGTGTTTTCTAGTATTGCCATCTTTCCATTGCTTCTTCCAGTAGGTGCAGGTGGGGGTCTCTCTTTCTCTCTCTATGGTACTCCCCCAGTGAGCTTCAGTGGGTCAGAAGTTCTATGTCTATAGCTCTAGGTTGTCCAAGCTCTCTAGGAGGTCTCTCCTCAGGCAGGGGCCAGGTGATGGGGGTCAAAGATCACGCTCCAGCAGAGGCTCTGCAAAGGGGGTCAAAGATCCAGCAGGCAGGGACTCAGGATGGTCCAGTGGTGACAGTCAGATGGGGGGGTGGAACTTCAGCAGAGGACTGGTGGTGGGGATCAGAGGTGGGAATCAGAGATCAGGCAGACTTGCTTCCAGGTTGGTCCAACACGGATAGACAGATCTTGTGTGCTGTATATAATTGCATTATTATAGATTCTAGCAGAGATAAAAATAAGTATGTTAATGAACTAAATTACACATACCATGGTTTCAATGAGATAATAAAAAAAACATAGAAATTTACATAATTGTTTGTGTTATACTTTCATGTGAAAATAGTGACTGGAAAAAATGCCACTCACATTGCAGGACCTTGAAGAATTCAGAATACAGTGGAGAGGAGAGGCAGTTACACATGTGTTCAGATAAACATACAGACTTACTGTCCAGCCTTTACAGTATGAGTGCTGTTATTCGGAGAATCCAATTCTTCCATGATGTCCCAAAACATGAGAAGCCCAGCAGGCAATGGAAAGAACAAAAGGAAGTGTATTATTAGGGCCTAAGATCATGCACAAGACATTATGCTACCAGTTGACGCCTTTCCAAAGGCTTGGGGCCTATGATTGGCAGGTCTTTACTGGGAAGGGTGTGCTGGGCAGTGGTTGAGAGCTGTGCTGTACAGTATGTGATCAACTCTGTACTGGGTGCTCTGTAGTCACTGGCTTCCACTTTATCAATAGTACACCTGACTACCTCAGTTGTGAAGCTTTATAAGCTAGCGTAAGGATTTTTTATAGCTTGTGATAGACTATAAAAAGATACTACTAGTTCAACAGATGCTGGTTGTGACAAGATACCTCAAAGCTGAAACCTTTTCTTAAAACCCAGATACTGCATAACGGAGGAAGGAGTCACCCATAAATACTACAGAAGACCCACCTCACCAATAGTAAAGGAATTCATATTGATATGAGACAACAATTTATTACTAGATAAATATTCTCATTTATTGTAGCAAATAATAGTAATGATTTAACCCATAGATACCTTCCCAATCTGGGAGTAAATTCTCCCCACAATTTAAGTGGGTGTTCGTTGACCTGTAATGTTTACTGATAAGAATTTGTCTTCTAGAGTCAATGAACAACATGCAAATAACATATGTACACACATACACATGTATAATAATATTTGTTGCATCAAACAAGGGAAAGTATTTCCAATATTAAGACATGGCCCTGACTTAACATATCAGGATAAGTGTGATTTATTTATCAGTGTTATATGATGCAACATTTACTAGAAAATTATTTCTTTGTGTATATTTCCAAAGGGGAAAAATATGTGTTAATAATACACATAGAAAAACTAAAGAGCTACAGTTTAGGGCCATCAGAGGGTTTTGTTGTTGTTTTGTTTTGTTTTCACCTGCTTAACATTTATGTGTATATCTTTTTGTTCATAAAGGTTTGCTAAGGTATGCCATATATTTTGTCAGACCTCTATCAATATCTAAAACTAAAACGACAACTTTCTTCTAAACCGTCCTATGTAGATTGTTTTGCTGTATATAACTACTACACACAGAAAATTTGTGACCTCCAGATCTATTGATAACACAAATCTGAGAGCTAGAAAACTACATGAAAAAAATTCTGTATGAACATAATAAACTTCCTGACGCCTAATTCTTTTCTTCATTTTTAAAAACTGTGTTTCTTTTGTTTTCACAGAGTTACTGGAGGTGAACTGTTTGAAGACATAGTGGCAAGAGAATATTATAGTGAAGCTGATGCCAGGTAAGTGACTTGCCCTGAGCAAGATAAACACACTTCATTCCATTACTGACACTTGTTCTATATTCGTATGTATAGATTTAAGTATATCATGCCCCAGCTATTATAAGAGTCTCATATTACCACTGTGAATTCTCTTTATAATGGGTCCTTCATCAGGAAAGTTTCTTTCCTTTAAAGGTTTTTGGGATCACTTTTAGAAAAAGGAAAAACTGTATGTATGTTTTAAATTTAATTTTTAATCATTTTCACTTGAGTTTCCCTGTTGTGAAGACTGAGTTAGCCACAGTGGCTGCTGAGTATCAGTGGGACAAGAAGTTCCTCAGTACAACACACTTCCAGTCAGCAAAGAGAAATAGACTGTGGAAGGTCTCAATGACCCATTTATAGTGTTTTTATTAGCATGTAACACTTTGGATATTTCATTAAAACCTCTAGAATGCTGGTATGAAAATTATTTATTTTCCCATTTCTAAGTGTTCACATGTAACTTCTCAATTTTATTAATTAGCAAAGTTTTCATGGAAATTTAATAAAGGTTCAGTGTTTTATCCAATTTTAAGATCCCTGGGCTACTCAAAAACATTTTTGAAGTAAATTTGCATTAGCCTACTTACCTAGACCTATTCTGACTTTGTGGTTTTAACTTTTTTCTTCTGCACTCTATAATTTTGACTTACGTTGAAAACCCTGTTGAAGAACAGTGAACTGACCATTACATAATTGATGCTATGAAAGTTAAATCACTGGCCATCTGCTCCACCTCTACTGTTCTCCAGGTTTCCAAAAATTATAGTAGTACAGTGGCACTTAGCTGATGTTGATGTTGAGTCGCCTCAGCCTCCACTCCAGAGTAGTACATGATGCATAAAAGCTTACCTTCCATCTAAGTGTGGCAGCTACCTGTAGCCCCAGCCCTTTAGAGATGGAGGCCAGTTCAAGAATTCCAGGCCAGTCTGCAGTATAGACTTGAAACACTGCCTTAAAATAAAAACAGAAATAATTAAATTGCTTTTCAAAAAGCTCAGCTTTCAATTTCTATTTTTTCTTGGTTTTATGCCACTACATTTTCTTGGCTTAATACTAATGTTTGTAGTATTCTGTACATCTGACTGTACATGATTACACTTTAATTTGTCGTCTATGTTTTGCTGTCAAAGTCAAGTAGAAAATTCTGTTTGAACTGTGTTACATTGAGTAAATCCTCAGTTGCTCATTGTACTCAAATTTTCACATTTGTCCCCAGAAAAGGGACCTAGAACAGTTCTAGAATAGCTATTTTCCCATTTGCCAATCAGGACTAATAATTTTAATTAAGGAATCAATTAAGGATTTTGAAGCCGAAGAGATGGTTTAACAGTTAGGAGCACTTGTTGCTTTTGTGGAGATCCTGGGTTTGATTCCCAGAACCCACATGGTGGCCACAACTATCCCTTCTTCGGACCTCTGTGGGTACCAAGCACATATGTGCACATTCAGGCAGACATTCATATGAATAAAATAAATAAATCTAAACAGTAAAAGGATTTTTAAAGGAAGTTTTACATACTTTGTCTTTCTAAGTTATGGTAAACATGTTCTGTTTGAAAACTTGTGGTTGAAGTGAGGTAGAGACCATTTTAACTGTTGGCAATCAATAATAGATCACAGGACAAAACCCAGATGTTAGACGTCTTCATGTGTATGCCCATATTACTCAGAAATTAATTTTGGAATAGTTTTTAGTTTAGAAATCCCACAATAAATAAAAAACAATGCTTTTCCCAGATAGAAGTATTAAGAGGCTATGTCTCACATTTCCCAACTTTGTTTTCTCATTAGCTCTCAAGGGTTTAGGCATGAAACCCATCCTCACTGACAAAGAGTAGTAAAACTGATTTACTATGATTCATTGCTTCTTAGTTTTGGCCATAAGCCAAGTAAGGTATTTTTATGGCTAGATAAAGCAGACTATTTTGTGGAGGTCACATTATGAAAAGGAACCACATAGTGAAACAATTGTGAGTAATAATCAGGGGAGCTATGTAGTTGACACCTCCACTTTAAGACTGTTTTTGTGGCCATATCAACAGATCTGGTACCAAACAATGACAATTGCCATGGGTGTTTCGATATACATATTGTTAAAAATTAGACAGTGATTGCTTTTTTGTTTGTTTAATAATTTCCTGTAGTACATCATTATGTTACATACCAAGTGAACAACACTGAGTTTGTCACTTTTTCCCTGACTCAGTGAGGGCCCTTTGGTTTCCACTCAGGTTTGAACTGCACAGCAAATGTGTACAAGACTTGTCAGTATGGTGTGTTCTGCATTATTTTATGTCAGGTGGCAGCTTATCAGGTCTTGAGGCTGCCAGTCAAAAATTTCTTCTCTCTTAATTTAATTAGCAGTTGACTTGGTATCAGTAATTAACTAGTAAGAATAGCATTGATGGTGCATTTTAACATGGTAATAAATAAAACTTCCTTCATTAAAAGGATTTAGCAATTACCAGTCCCCAGGGGATCTTAAATATATTTGCAAATGCCTTAGCCCTTCCCTGAGTTTTCTGACTGTGAAAGGGGTTCATTTTATGTCATAGGTCAACTTTGGATCCTCCTCTTGGAGCTTGCATTAGTTTTCTTATTCCTGTGCTCTACAGGAGGCACCCCTTCTAAATCATTGATGCATGTGTCCATCCTTTTATTATTTTTAAGTCCCTGTTTCACATACCACTTCATCTGTGTTTACCCTCTTGTTTCAACATGTTTAATTGTGACCTCAGATCTTAAACAGTTTAGATTGTGTATGACAAACACATGGAAATTTTATGTCTCTAGATAATCTTCCCAGGACATGTTGGGAGTTAAACATCAAATTTTCTTCCTGAATGTGGAGATTCCAACTTCTATAACAGATGACTTAATCTTTAGACCAATAACACAGCTTAAATTGTTTTGTCTGAATATGTCACAAATTCTATGTTGAATGTCATTATAATAAAAATCAGAATTAGCTTTATTCAACATTATTTAGTCCCGGTGTAAAGCTAAGAAAAGTGTGAATAAATACAATTTTGTTTGTTTGTTTTGTTTCGTTCGAACCTTCATTTTATTTTGTATCCAATGTGATTATGTGCCTTTAAAATGTTCTCCCTTCCATTCTGCCCTTGTATCTTTGCAGTCATTGTATACAACAGATTCTAGAGAGTGTTAATCATTGTCACCTAAATGGCATAGTTCACAGGGACCTGAAGGTCAGTATATGGAGTCCATAAATCTGAATAAACAAGTTTCTTTGATTTTGTTTTTTTCTGGGTAAAGGGCAAAGCTGGGTGGGATATTGAAAATGGTGTTGAAAATGCCTTCCCCAACCTTTTCTTGAAATGAATGATGAAATGACAATGCATGATGCCTCTTCAGTTTGCTCATCTACAGGCTAAATATACATCTTGGCAGGAAAGGAACAGCAGTGCCAATACAACTTGCTACGTTTCCAAGCAATAGATTACCAGAGTCGGTTTGAGGGCAGGCTTTCCTGAAGGGTCCAGCATTGGCCTGGAATGAGCTTGGCCTGTGATGTATGTCTGCCTGTAGATCTAACACCACTTCTGTTCTGAGACCACGGGTTGCTGAAGCAGGACAACTGACTACACATTGCTCACTTGAGCCTGGCGAACCCTAGGCAAGGGGTAATAGTTGCCAGCTAGACTACACAACACAAGAAGCCCATGTTGTCAAAAATTCTTTCTGTGTCCTCATTTAAACCTAATGGTGCCTTGTGTGCTAGCAGGACAACTTTTAGAGCGATACTGTAAAAATGGGAAAGAATGGGGAGAGAGCACAACTACGAGATTATATTTGTGTTCCAGTTCATTTCCTGGAAGAATTTATAACCAGGAAATGAGTTCCAGAACAAAATGAGATATTGTCCAAATGGATCTTTTTAGAACAAGTTAATACACATCTTGGCTCACAGCTGGCAATATCCTGATTGTCCCGAGGTGGTAGTCACGCTTCTTGAGCAATGTGTTACTGTGACCAACCGAAGGAGATAAATTCAACACTAGTTGTCTGCTAGCTTTGCTCTTTAACCCCGTCTCTCTGAGGGTATACAGACAGTGAGTGTAAGCTTGGAACTAACACACGCCCCCTGGTGTTTGCATGCAGTCATTGCATTCAGCAGATCCTGGAGGCTGTGCTACACTGCCATCAGATGGGCGTAGTCCATCGGGACCTGAAGGTGAGTAATGCTGTTGGAGAAGATAAAGAACCACACAGTTCCTAATGACTGTTCAGCTTCAGTTATGCCAGGAAAGGCAAACATTCAAGCAGTGAATCCTTGTGGACTCATTCCAACACATATATCCATGTGTTTCCCCATTCCACAGCCTCTCATTTTTGTCTCCTAACATACTTGAGACACATAAATCAAAGAGAAGTAGTTTCCTAACATTAATAATAAATAACTTGCTTTCTTTCCATACTCCAAGGAATGGACATAGATGATTTTAAGATTTATAATTGCTCTTTTGTTATAAACTAATTCTGTAGATATTGATCAAACATATTTTACATTTATACTATATATCTAATATATCAATAATTTTCAGAATTATAAGCATAGGCTTAAGTCCTGTAATTGGGTGCCATTTTGAACTCTTTCTATTACCAGTAATTCTTAGAATTCTAGAACTGCAGGCTTCTTGCTTCTTATTTGTCTTCCTAGGGGCCTAAAAATACAGATGGAAAAAATATTATATAAGATAAAGTATATGAAACATGTGTTTATATTTTTTATAGGTGGTCCACTAATAGTTGCTAGGGTGTACTCAGTTCCTATTACCACTCCAAGCAAGAACATTTTAGAGCATCTGGAGTGAGAGAGTTTAGGGGACTCTTCCAGTAATTTTCTTTTCCCATCTGTCATCATTCTAGTTTTACTTGTTATATTTCCGAGAAACAGAGAAACCTTCAATAGCAAATAAAATAATGCCATAGGATTGGGGGAAGGTAGCCAGTGTGCTTCATGATATATTATAGTTTCAATTCCTTGTTGGCAATCCCGGCATTTCCAGGCTTTACTACAGAGGCAATGTAGTGGTCACTAGAAGGAGCTGGACATCCTCATACAGATATTTCTGTGACTTTAATGTTCAACAAGAATATGCATCTGAATACCCAGTGTTGTTAGTATGTGGATGTATGATTTGTATCAAAACATTGACGTTGTTTTCTGGACTCTTTTCCAGTTTCATTTGATTCTGAGAATTTTAACGATGAAAAGCAAAGCTATAGTTGAGGGACTTTTCTTTGGCAAAATCAGGATAGGATATTGCATATTTTCTAACACTTTCCAGATGTATGTAGTAGGGGAAAAAAAAAGAAACATGTTCCTTTGAAAAGTCCTATATTAAGCAACTGTGTCAAAAATTCACTAGTGACCAAGGGAGCAGTCAGAACCCCTTTGTGTTAGCTGTCAGCACCCAGGTGACTTTTAATCTTTCCACTTGGGACATTGTACTGCATTTATGTGACCACATGTATAACCTAAAGCTAAACATAAAAAGTGGGAACTCTCTCCACCCACTCAATTGTATGGTATGCTTTGTGGGATATGGATTTGCTCTTATGTGGCCAGCTCAGCCACTGGAATTTGAATCAAAGATGGCAGTGGGCCTGGGGCATTGGTTATGAGCAAACAGTTTTCTGATATAATATCTGAACTTTGGATCAAAACTCTAGGCAAGTGCTTTCTAGTAAAGCTTACCAGCAACAGAAATCATGTACTACTTGCCCCGGCTTCCCCACCCTGCCCCTCTGGTTTTCAGAAGGATGGAGACTGACTTTTGAGTGCACTTACTGTAATTTCTGTAATTGCTGACCTAATTTTGTCACATTGATGACTTGGATGAACTCTACAGAGTCTGCTTCCAGTGCTAATCAGTAGACCACTTTATAATCATACTAGTAGAATTGAAAGCTTATGCAATAACCTGTGCATCATATTTACGTGTAAGGGTGTTAAACCCTGATTTTGTTTTATGACTTTTTTTTTCCCAAATGAATACACTCCATGTGATAAATATGCTGCTGGGAGTGCCATACTTAGCAATGTAGTCAAATATAAAGTCTTTCATTACCAAGCTTTTAACCAAGTTTCCCTCCTGGTTCTAATACCTTCTGTCTTTATCCTGATTTGCATATTGGTTCACATAGAATTCAGATACTGAATGTGTGTGGCTCAGTTCATCTAAATCACTTGGAGAAAAACTAAGGCAATGCTGTGTTTATTATCATTATCAGAGGCACTTGTGGCTGTTGTACATTTTAAGGTACTCCTACACCAGTACCTGTGGGATACCACAGTGCCTAGCAAAAGACCTTAACCTAGCCAAGGCTTACAACGTTTTTCTTCAATTCAGAAACAGATAAAAATTCAGACAAAAGAATAAATGTACATAAAGCACACATTTTATAAGAGCAATCATAATAGATTATCCACACAATAGGATAAAATAACAACACACATGATTTTGAAAACTTTTACCTGCCAACCTCTGGAATCTATAAGATACAAAATTATTGGTATCCAGAACCAAGAGTGAGACATAGCAGGCAAATTGAGAGGAGAAACGAGAGATGTCTCAAAGATTGATGGAGGAGACGAGTCACCACTGGGTTGCTCTCGGTGGACATGTGAACAACAGTGTTTTATGTCTCCAGTAGTGGGACCATTGATTCACATCTAGATAGGATTAGAGATTCTAACAGTAATGATTAGACTACAGTGTTGTTGCATAAGTAGGAAGCTTCATGGCACAATTGAAGCTATTAGCCACAAAACAAAGCCCTATGTATCCCTCAGCAGAGGATGCTGCTCTTGCCTTGGCCTCAATTTTAGTAGCATGTAATGGAAGAATCATCATATAGGTAGATAAACAGATGAATGGAAGGATAGATGGATGGATGGATAGGTAGATAGATAGATAGATAGATAGATAGATAGATAGATAGATAGATGATACTTTAATTCTGAAGTTGCTTATGGCTACCTTATAGAAATGTATGATTGTAGTAGAGCATAAGTATGCAAAGTATATTTCAAATTCTAAATTTCAAATAGTTAAAAAATTCTGATTTTCTCAGATCTGTCTTTAGATCAAAGTCTTTAGATAAAAAACAATCTGTGTATCCTGTTTTTCTCAGAACTGTCTTTAGATAAAAGATTAAAGGGCAATTGTTTCTACATAGCATTTGTCTGGCTATCTAAGAAGGAATGTTAAGTGAAAATCAAACACATCAAGCGGTAATCCTGTCATGTATTGAGTGCCTAGGGTTTGTGAGGCCATAGAGAGGAAGTTGCTGTGGGGTGCAGTAACACCAGTTCCACTCTGCTTCTTTCAGTCAATTCAGCAAGGTTTTCTCAGAGTATAGAAGTAAATTAGGAGACAGGAATGGGATGTAGGGGGTCCCAGTGCATCTGCCTGCCTGTTTACAATACCAGAAGTATGGCTTTGTGATTGGAAACTCAAGTGCATACATCATCCAGAAAGTCCCCTGTTCTCCACACATGAAATCAGGAATTCACTCCTGTAAAAACCTTATATGAAAGCTAAAACCATCTGTACCATTGCACAAATAGAACAAGTGTAGATGCCAATCAAGCTTTTCAGCTTAGGGGAAAATTCCATTTTGTTGATTTCTGGGAGCTTTGATCACACCTTCTCTGGCAAAAGAAGGGGTGACTGAAAACATACCAAAGCAGAGAATATCTAACTTCTAGTTAGATTATTGAGATTTTAAAATCAAGCGAAGGGATTTTAAAAGACCTTTAAATTTTACTACAATTATATCTAGGGGAATTTGACAATCAATATATCACAATAAAATTGCTTGATTTTTTTGTAATAAAAATTAAAAGTGTTAAAAAGTAAATCGCTTATCTGATATGTCTGTTCCTAATGACTGAGTCTTACCATGTAGGCAATGATCACAGGCATGCCAGATAAACCCTGTGATTAATGTTCATGTGACCATTGCCTTTTCCAGATTAACTCCTTAATAAACACAGTGTTAATCAAAGACTCAAGATTAAGATCATGTCTTATGTTTCCTAATTTAGATATAGGTGGCAATTACTTTTTATTACTTCAAAATGTGTTAAAATACCTACCAAACAGGCCATCTTATAAATGAACAATTTTTATATCATCAGTCAGGGCTCTATTGCTGTAACATGATACCATGACTACAGCAAATCGTGCAAATCTTAATTGGGGCTTACTTACAGTTCAGATGTTTAGTTCATTATCATCATGGAGGGAAGCATGGTGGCATGCATACAGGCATGGTGCCAGAGAAGTAGGTGAATGTTCTATATCCAAATCAATAAGCAACAATAAGAAAGAGACTCTGGGCTTGGAATAGCTTTTTGAGACCTCAAAACCCACCCCCAGAGACACATTCTGCCAACAAGGTCACACCTACTAATCCTTTCAAATAGTGCCACTCCCTGTTGACCTAGTCTTCAACTATGAGCCTATGGAAGCCTTTCTCATTCAAACTACCACAAGTACCAAAGCTTTAAAGAATAGTTATGCAGCTGAAGAGATTTCTCTGTAGGTGAAGTGCTTGCTGCCTAAGCATGAGGAACTGATTTTGTATTGCTAACACCCATATAGAAAAGCTTGGTCTCATACTTCTGTTCTGTAGTCCCACCTCTGAAACACATAGACAGGGAGGATCCCAGGGGCTCACTGGCTAGTCAATCTAGTCACTCACTAAGCTCCATGTTCATTAAAAGACAGTGTCTTCAAAAGTAAAGTGGGGCCTGATAGAAAAAAAAAAAAAAACACTCCATACTGGCTTCTATGTACACAGGTGCATGAACACATATACCCCCCCACGCACAGTTATACATACACTTCTGTGCTTCAAAAGATGAAGCAATTAAGAAATCTAGCACCAAGTCTTAGACTTTTCTTTTTGAACATTTCTACATTTATAAACTGAGGTTCTTGAGATTTATTTTCTTTAACAAGTCTCCACTAGTTCTAAAGGTGGTTGCACAACCTGCTTAAATACTTTCAGATATTTGAATAATTTTAAGAAGTCTTTACATCCTCCTGAAAGCTATTGCTTTCATATCCATGTGGAAACACAAAACAAAACTTGTACACAGTTGCTGCTCATTGCAGCTGATGTGCTATAAATGGTTGTTGACACTGAGACCAGATGTCGTGGAAAATCCTGCACCATTAAGAAGCAATGGGGTGGGGAAGGAACCTAGGTGTGAGAATGTCAGAAGACTCTATTTAAAAACAAACCTATAAAGTGATTGTGTTCTAAGAGTGTAGAGATGCTTGCAAAGTATGCAGGCTAACATAGGGATCCATATGAACATTTCTTCAGTTTTAAATATGCATTACAGGGTGAAAATATTTCTGCACTTTGAAATGATCAGCCATAGGGGAATGTAATGTCTGACAACCAGCATGTAAATTGTCCCTATAAGGTACGGTGTTCTTATGATGCACATCTACTAGCTATTGTCATGCGATATAATTCAGTAGCCCTATAATACTATTTGATGAAAGAAGTAATCAGTCAATGACAAGGGTCTGTGGGTTGCCCAAGTCTGTAGCATTAGAGATAAAGACAGGACATGAATCTTGAATTCACATTTTTTTATAAGTCATCATTATGCCCAGTTCCCTCATGGTGCTCAGTCAGTGTCCATGTACAGGTATGTTGGAAGGTCTCTGCTTTGATCCTGCCTGTCACATTCATCCTAGGAAGTCAAAACAATGGATAGTATCAACTGGTATGTGGTAAAAATCCTGCCTAAGAAGGCAGCTATGCACTCACTAGCATTCTAATTGTTCAGTCTACTTGTAACCTGATAACAGATGTATTCCTTTCTTAAGCATTTGGAGTTTGAACTACTCAGCAATGGACTTTTATAGTACAATATAACTTCAAGTTAAATGTTAGGAGTGATTCAAGTAAACCCAAAACAAATGCCAGTTTTCACTAAAAGTTTCCTCTAGAAATTATTAATGAATCAGACTTCTGCACCCCCACAGACCATAACAGAAAAATTGTTTTAACTGCCCTTTCTAAAGAAACTAGAAAAAAAGCTCTATGAAAGTGCCCCAGAAGGACAGAAGGGTACATAAAATTCCCTGATCTGTAGTAACATATCGCTGTTAGCCACCATATTGGGTGCTGGCAATTGAACCTAGGTCCTCTGAAAGAGAAGCTCTTAACTGCTGAGCCATCTCTCCAGCCTTAACACTTTTATTTTTAGTTGAGACATAACAACTATATGTTTATAAAGTACAACATGACATTTCCATAGATGAATACAATGTATAATGATCAATCAGGTCAGGGTCCTGAGCACATCATTTACTTCAAACATTTATCATTTTCTTGTAATAGAAATACTTAAATTACTCTGTAGTAGCAATTTCGAAATATGCAATTAATTGTTAACCATAGTTGTCCTACTATACTATATATATTCTAAATCTTTACATGGCTTTGGATAGCTAAAGCATATGTATTTTTAATCAAGTGTTTGTGTAAGATTTATACATTTCATTGTAAATCAAATCTCAATAAAAGACTGTAAAATATTAAAAGGAGAAACTCTATGGAAGTAAAATGTGTGTGATACATTAAGCTTTTATTAAAGCTAGTCACTGAAAGCAATCTTTGAGTGAAATATTAGAAAGCAGATTCCTTTAATAAAATCAAAAACTGTTCTAACATTTCAGCTTCCTTTCCATAGTCTATGTTAGATTTTCCTAAGTAATATACACAGATACAAAGCCATGTCAGTGCTCTTAATTTTAGAATGTATCTTATCCCTTGCAAATAGGCCTGCCTTCTCCTGTACATAGCTGCTGCTGAACAGTCTTCATGGGTGTCAGGTAAAACTCACATACAAATGGATTCCCGTTTTTTTTTGGATTACTCACATGTCCTAGAGTAAGACCTTTTAGGTCATCTTGACCACCATCCCAGTCAGAGACTTGGTTTTTCAAGGCATTGTGCATAGAGCCCTGCCCAGAAGCCTTTTAGTGTAGTGGTAAGAGTAAAGGACATTAAATTTTAAAAGAATTTATTTACTAATTACATTGGAATTTGCTAGAGTAACATCTATACCATTAAACTTAAAGGTCCTAAAATGACCTTGATTTCTTAAGTGATTGGCACTCTTACCTTGAATGAGTCTGTGGTTGGCAAATTAGATCGGATACATAGTAGCAGGCATATCTGAAATCTCAGTCCTGTGAAATATGAAAGTTCCAAAGGAGAATTAACTGTTGCCTATAGTTTAGTGTGCTTGGTCCAAGTTATTTATTTCTACATAAAGTAAAAAATTATGCCAATTAAATTGGAAAATTGAAAAGTAGTTAGTTGACCATAAATTTTAGTTATGAAATTAAAATGTTGAAAGTGAAAAATCCTGATTAAATATTTTAGCGCCCTGATAAATATCAAGGTTCCAATTCAAACATTAAGTCATAGTGAAAGTTATATCAGCCTAAGTGTTTTCATATTCTTGACACATGTTCATCTCAAACTCCAAATTAAATGATGTCTTTGTTGTTGAAGTAGTTCAAAACCATACTTCAACCCTGAAAATCTACCAAGGTCCCTCCACATTTCCAGTGGTCGGTCCCAATTGTAGTGACTCTGATGGCAGTGAGCAGCAATCGCCTGAAGAATTCTGGTATTTAACTAAAACTTGCTTGCTCACCCTCTAATTTCTTATAGATTTAACCTAACCTCTTCTAAGTTCTGCTTATGGATTTTGCTGTCTTGCATGGCTGCCTGATTAATAAATACTGGTTTAGGCTGTGTTTACTCAAGTCCAAAACAACCCACAAAACTGACAAATTCAGCCAAGAGAAAGGAGTTGAATGAATGAAAATTATAAAATTTTTGTCTGTCAACATATAAACAAAATTGTTTGACTGATAACGTTTTCATAATTTCAGAGAAAAGTTTTGGTACTCAGAAAGGCCATTGTTTCCCAACTGTTTTGGTGGAGACATAGGCTCCAAATTCATGGGTCCTTATCCAAAAAGAAGGAAGATCTTGGCGCAAGTGTATGCCAATCCAATGTTCAGGTGGGCTAGGCTTCACTGTACATAATATTCAACACTCTTCCACTAACCATATCCCCACTCTGTTTCTTAGAATCCATGAGGACATCCAGTGAAATTGAAGGCTCTGTCTCAGTGCTTGTTTTCAAAGTTCCAGTATGGTTGGGAAACAATGGTGTAGACACAGCCTCATTCCAAGTCTGATTTGTCAGTCCTTGAAGAAGGATCATACCAAAAAAAAAAAAAAAAAAAAAAAAAAAGTGTTTCTCACAGTATTTTAAGTGGGTGAATAAGTATCTGTGTAACATTTTAATCACACTTTAAAGGAATGTAAATTACATAGTGAAAGGGGGGCTTTTAAATTTCTGTTTAAAGCTAACTATAACATTTGGCAAACAGTTTACTCTTTCTGCCTTTAAGAATAAAGAGATCCTTAAAGACAGCCATTTTAATACAAAGGAAGTCTCCAAAATTTGTGCAAATATTGTTTGGAAACATTGAGGAATCAAAATCACTTTATAAATCAAGTAGAATTTAATTTGTAGTTTCCTTTGCCAAATGTCTGTAAGTTGGTTCAACTCTGGTTATCATTTTGCCAGGTTTCCTCCTGATGAAAATGTCTGCTCTGTTAGGCTTCTAAGTCCATGTCAGTAGCCAAGTGTGCACCTTGAGTAGTCCTTGGAAGCATGTGAGCAGGTGAAGCCAGCATCTTTACTAACTGCATCCCTCCCCATTGCCTCTGCAGTACCCAATGCATCTGTCTGAAGCCTGCACCTGAGGTTGTTCTTTTAGTTTTCTAACTATACTTTCCCTGGGATTTAGGAATGGAACTCTCCACAAGAGACAACAATGCATGTGTTTGTTTCCCAACCCCCGCTCCCTGTTTAATCTTGTACAAATGTTGGTCATTTTAAGTAGTCACTTAAAATAGAATCTCACTTTAGTCTCTTTCTCTCTCTCTCTCTCTCTCTCTCTCTCTCTCTCTCTCTCTCTCTCTCTCACTCTCACTCTCTCTCTCTCCTTCCTAAATAAAGCCTGAGAATTTGCTTTTAGCTAGCAAATCCAAAGGAGCAGCTGTGAAACTGGCAGACTTTGGCTTAGCCATAGAAGTTCAAGGCGACCAGCAGGCGTGGTTTGGTGAGTAGGCTACCCTCCTTCTTGTAACTGTGCTCTCCCAGTCTGGAACCCTGGTTCCTAACACCACTTTCTAGCCACAGGATAGTAGGTAGCAATGGTTATCTAGCAACATCTTAACTAATGTAAGACATTGAATCTCATGTAAAATTGGTCTATAATCAGAAAATAACTTAAGAGAAAAGAAGTTCACTAATACCTTTTGAAAGGGTTCATGGTAAAATGGATTCTGTGCTAAGAGTTAATAGAAGGGTTTTGATATATAATGTGGCTTGCACACACATGCTATAGATACATGCATCCTCTCTTCACAATAGTAATAAATAGTATTTTTAAAATATAATCTAGAGATGATAGGTAGCTCATGTTATAACCCTCACACTAGGGAGGAAGAGACAAATAGAAATACCCTAGAGCTTACTAGCTGGCCAGTCTAGTCTCCTTGTCAAGCTCTAGACCATTGAGAGACCCTGTGTCAGAGAACAAGGTGGGTAATACCTGAGAAACTATATCTGAGGTTGTCTTCGGTCACACATATACTAGTGCATACTGCAAAATGTAAAAACTATTTTATTTTCACTCTTATGTTTAATTCCACATACTTTGTTCTTTTTATTCACTTTTTACTTTATACTCCTTTTTTCTTGAAATATCAGTCAAGACTCTGAGAATCAACATCCTCTGTAGCGCATCTGATAAAATTGTAAAATGTAAATTACCACAGAAATATTCACATACATACCATTTATCCTAAGGAACTGGATGCAAAACATATCTACAATGTGCCTTTAACATCTGTTGCTGCTAGGGTATCAGAGGCTCTATTAGGATTTTGCATCATGGAAGAATTACTTTACTTAGTTGCTATTTGTCTCTCATTTTAAATATTAAATGATTTTTTGAATGAGAAAATTATCTAATGGTCCAAGAGTTGATATTTCTGTTTCTTTCTTTGTGTGTTTTGATACTCCTATTAGTTCTTTGAAGTAAAATTCATGATACCTCTGGAGAGAGCAAGTTTTCATTAAGCTTGATAATATCATAACAATCCTACATTACTAGGAGCTAAATGCCCTGATGAAGAAAACCTTATCTACAGCTCCCACATGCTGTATTCATGAGTTAATTGTACAGTGTATTGTTTCCCCAAACTCATGCATTTGGATGTATAATTCCAAATATTTAGGACTAGAACCAACTGGCAGCTCAAGTGATGGGAGTTCTAAGTAAGAATAAGAATGATAGCATTCTTAGGACATTTTAGTCTCAGGGTGAGGGTTTTAATATTTTATATGTAGAATATGTATTTATTTATCACTTTATAGGCCAGGCTGGTCTTGAACTCACAATCCTCTGAACTCAGTGCCCCATTTGCTGGAATTTTATACATGTGTGCCACAATGCTCAACTTGAGCTTTTGATTTCTTACTCTTATATAGTAGTTTTCTTATACGTTTTTTCCAAAGAGAATATCATTAAGTCTCCTGCTCTTTGCCATTTCTATTACTAGGGTACTTAAGACAAATTGAAGTTGACTAGCTTTAGCTTGTGGAATACATGGAAACTGAGAGAGATAAATATAGACATCTAATCAGAACAATGATGGAACAAAAGGGAGATGCAAGTAAGCGCCATTGTAAGAATGAGCAGTTCATTTCCAAGAGAACTTAAAGAGGTTGGTCAGGTTATATGCTCAAAAAAGCACCAGTCCAGATGTCTAAGAGGGATCTGAAAGAACACACACACAGGGAGGACACTGCTCTTTATTAGACTCAGATGAGTTTCTCATTGTATGCTCTGTGTATCATTCATAAAGAGTTGGGAGAGGGATGTTGAGATTACAAGGGGAAGGGCAGTATACCAGCAGCACTGCAAATCCTTTTGCAACAATTGTACCCACCCCTACTTTGCAATGACACCACATTATGTCCTCAGGTGATCCTTAAGCTACAGGCAGTGGAAGCTCAGTGGATTAGTGATGAGTTCTGTAACACTTAAGCTGTGCAGAGGGGCCCCATCCCAGAGTCTTTTCTCATGACCCGCCACTTTCTTCCAAGCAGAGGAGAGAAGAAATAAAACGAAAGTTAGGCAAAAAAAAAAAAAAATCCTTTGGCTTATATTTAATCTACTTTTGTTAGAGAAGTAACACAGCTATATATCTTCTCTCTTGTACTTGTTTTATTTTTATGTAGCAAGTATAAAGTTCATTGTAGAAATGAGGAATAGTTCTTTTCTTGGATACTTTGCCTCCTGGTGAATAAAGACTGTGACTTGGCACTAGTTTATGTTTGGAGGAACTTCTGATTGTGTGTTCTTTTACAGAGACTTTCCAGTTTCCATTTTTTGACTTTTAAAATAATACTTTCAAATGAGAATGGTTAACTTTGTTATTTAAGCATTTTTTGCTTGGAAATTCATTTTCAGGAGTAGAAAATATTTTCCACTGATGTCTAGGTACAGATTTTATCATTGCTTAAGCATTCCTCATTGAATTCTACACTGCTGTATTTAACACAAAGCTTTCTTTGCCATCAGCCCCCTTCACTGTGTCTTCTGAAGTTGGCGGTCTTGTTGGTTGGCATTCAGTGGTGATTCATCTGAGTGTCTCCGAGTCTCCTCATAGTTGCCAGTTATGAATACACCCTGGTTATTTATTAGTACACATTGAACTGATATTTTTCTGGGCGTATTTCTTAGAATGAGTATTTCAGTTACTGGTAGCCCTATCTATCCTCTGGCCCTGTACCCAAAGGATATCTGTTTTAAAAAATCATTTTCTGGAAATTTGCTTTTGATTTGTCCTTAGTATATATAGATGTCCCACCCCGCACTCTTTTATGGGTGACTGATTGCCAGAGGCATTTAGCTATCATCTTTTGCAAACAACTAGTCTGCCCTTGGTTTTCTCATTATTTCTTTAGAGTTTTAGTTTGAACTTCCCTATAGATAATGTTAAAACATGTAAACAAAGGTAGTGTCAGTATATCATAGTAGATTGATCTCCACACCTCCAGTGTGTGTGTGTGTGTGTGTGTGTGTGTGTGTGTGTGGTGTGTGTTTTCAAATAATCTATAAGATAGTACAGACAGAGCTTATCTTCAGCTAAAGAACCTCCCTAAAGCATTCTTTCTTTGTTGGCCGTCTCCCACTAATGAGCATCTGTATTCCCTAGGTTTTGCTGGCACACCTGGTTATCTTTCTCCAGAAGTCCTGCGTAAAGATCCTTATGGAAAACCAGTGGATATGTGGGCATGTGGTAAGAAATTTTATTTTCAAGGCAGATTTTGTAATAGATCAGTGTCTTGGTCAATTTGGGATGCAATAATAAAACACCAGAGACTGAATGGCTTAAACAAGTAAAAAAGTATTTGATGATTCTAGAAGCTGGACAGTCTATAGTCATGGTGCCTATAGATTTGCTGTCTAATGAGGGTGTACTTGTGGATTCATAAAAAGCCGTCTTTTTTTTTTAAGGCCACACATGGTAAAGGAGTTTCTCATAAAAGCATTAATCTTAGTCACGAAGCCTTTTCTCCACCAAAGGCTTCACTACTAATTTAATCACAGTAGCACTGAGGAGCCCAACATGTAAGTTAGGGGAAGGCAAAAATGTTCTGTAGCAAGCAGTGTTGTCAGAATCGAACACAGAAAGTCTCAAACTTTAGTCTACCGAAAGACTCTTGGAGAAGTGGGTAAAGAACAGACCTCCATGTTTTTGGTTAGGTCTGGAGTGGACAGACTGACACTTTCTGGTGTCACCAGTGTTTTATATCTGATCTCTGAGAACAAAGATGCGAAGAGCCTTATAATGTTACACACTTATTCTTCTAAGCCAAACAGTCCTTCTAACAGAAACTATCTGCCTAGGATGCTTGGCAAGTATTCAAGAATGGTAGTAAATCTTGAAAATAATGAGTTATTGATGTCTGATTCCAGCCCCAATCTGCCAACCCTAATTAAAAGAAAACAATCCTAGGCAGACCCAGCCACACACTGGGAAGAATGGCATCATATCTTGTAATAAAATCTCTGCATGTTGGCATATTCTTCTAATAAATGGAAGAATGAAATAAGGAGGATGTTGCCAGGCACTCTGGAATGGTTTTCTACTAAGGTTCTCAGCACAACCTCATATTCTGTGTTCCATAGTCTCCTTTCTCCTGTCTAAAAACAGGTGTGAACTTCTAAAGTTTGGTCATGGTTGGCTGCAGGCATATTTCAGTGCAGTGTTCAGTGGCAAACCTAGAAGACGTTGATTAAAAATTGATTTATAGGTTCGGGAAAGTATGTCTAAGTTCAGTGTTAGCTTAAAAGAAATATCTGTGCCAGCTTTACATCCCTAACAACAACTTGATACTGAATGCAAACTGATGGAACCCTGCATGTTCTGAGTTCCTTCCACATTCAGAATGGCGGTTATGACAATGGGCTATATTTTTGTCACACCTGGCTGCCAGTCTTCGGTTTATACTAGCTCTAATATCTGACTTTTTTTTTCCTTTTCCCTGTAAAGTAGGAGTATTATATCCTCACAGAGTTGTGGGAGGGTCAGACAAGGCACATATTAAGGAATCATGTTTTATGGTGGATAATGCAGTGTAAAATGAAAGTAGGAATCTTCATCCTTGAGACTTAACAGTGACAATCAAAAGCCGTGGTCTCAGATATAACCTAAGCACTCTCTTCCCCCTGCCTTCCCAAGGCTGTTTTCTAAGGTTCACTTCAAAGTGTCTGTGAGTGAGAGCTGGTGCAAACTGTTCTTGTCCAAGTCTGAATTCTAACAAGGTCAATGGCTCAAATATTTCCCTTATGTTAAATAAGTTCCCAGCCCAGATCTGTTTTTGCTGATGAACTTTCAGGCAGCAGATTGGACCAAGATTCAGGCTGAGTGACAATGACATGACTTTGGAGGATAGTCATATTCTTGAAATATTTTAAAATATAAAAGAGTCATATTTTTGTGAAGTACAGGGTTGTGGAGATGGAATGTTATGTTCTGATCTTAAACTCCGTAAGGATTATTGTGGTCAGTTATTCGCCCAGAACAAGGGAAGTACTGCAGTATTAGGGCCAGTGTCCCAGTTCTGAGATTCCTAAAAAGCTCGACCTCTCCACCCACTCTAAATGCTAGTTAGAAAAACTACTAGATAGAAAAGCAAATAAAGGAAATTTAATCAACATGACCTTACAAATGTGAATAAGTAGGGTCTAAGGTCTCAGGTCTGTTTTGGGGTGTTAAACAAGATGTATGCATGATTAAGATCTCTTGGTCAAAGTATGTCTTGTTTACTGTCTCAGTTCTGGTTCAGCAGTAGTTGGAGAACTCTTTATTCTTAGAGGAAAAGCTGGTGCTCATCAACTGTTCCAGAATAGTCTGGTCATCATAGATAATTGCCCGCTTTTAGGGGTGATCTGTCCTATCGGACTTTGCTGTAACTGAAACCAAGGTATCTAGAGATTTAAGACAGTGGCTCTTGCTCATGTGTCTTTGGCCTTGATAAGAAACTATCTGAGTTGAGTGTTACAGGTTCTAAATCGATACTCATTGAATGATTACCATACCTATGAGGAATTAAATAGGAGTATGACCCAAAGCACAGACATAGATAAAATAGAAGGGAAGAGATTCAGGTTTCTATCCTGCTTTCAGTTACCTAGTGTGCTCAGAGGAGGAGGATTGGGTACTTTATTGAAAAAACAGCCAGGGATTGATGCAGGTATAGTAAGCTTTTATTTATTTATTTTCTTGCCTTATTCAGTAGATACTCATCTCTGACTTGTCTAACCTATTTAATTCTTCCATCCTGGTTTTCCTCTAGACTCTCCCTTTTTTGTTTTCCCTCCTTCCTGTCTATTTGGTAGCATTTGACATGGTTAAAAGAACACACCCAACTCTTCGGTTTGCCTGCTTATATATTTTGCTTTCTCAGACACCTCCTAAAAATGGAGATAACATAAGGATTAAAAATGAAGATAACTGCCAAGAGGATGTGAGAAGATGCACTTTATGTGTGTTAGTTACTACTAATGTTGTTATTATAAAGTTGTTTGGATTTGTTTGTTTGTTTGATTGATTGATTGATTGATTGATTATTTGGATTTGGTTTCATTTTTGGAAAGAATTTCCTGGGTAATTGATGTAGCCTTATTTTAGAAACAAACTTTAATAGTTAATTCAACACTACAAACAATTATGATAACATGTTGAGTATTATAATGCCCTCATGACTTTCTGGATATCAAATTCTCTCTATGTGTCTCTCTGTCTCTGCTCTTCTCCCCTTCTTTATTTCTTTCTTCTCTGTCATCTCACAGGTTTCAGTCTCTATTTACTGTGGCCAGAGTCCCCTTCTGCTCTGCTCTGGGCTGTTCTTTGCTTTCTTCACATGGTATTTTTCTAACAACAGGTTCCCTCCTCAATAAGCCATGTTCTAGCTCAAGCATGGATCGGTAGTCAGCTCTCATTTTTTTCAGACCCTGAACAACTTTTAGTCTAGAAATTCAATTAGATACTTTCATAGCATGTATTTAGGGAAATGACCACCACTGTGCATTGCTTAAGTATTGTCATGATCACAATCATCTTCATCATCATCATTACAGTTCTGGATCATTAGTATTGGTTTCAACTCAATGCTTCACCATTGTACTATGTCTTCTCACTCAGGTGACATGAAGACATATTAAATTCATTTTAGTTATAAAAGTCCATCTTCTCCTTGCTTACTGCTTTTTTATCAGCTCATGGCTTACTTTTCATTCATCAGCTCTCTCTCTTGCCAAATCATTCCTATCAAAAATAGATAATGTATTGAGTGGTAAGAAATAGTACTAGACAATTTAAAAAGCAACAAAAAATCTTATGTGAGCTAAGTTATAAGCATTTGCTAGAACAGGGGTTTTGTTACACTAGCAGTTGAAACAACACATCGTGGGCATAGAAACTAAGGAAGTATTAGGAACATGCACTTATCTGCACTTGAGAATTCTCAAACACCACCATTACCTTGCTTTTATGATCTCATAGTAAGGTCTGACTAATACCTGGTCTTTGAAAGCAACCAGTACATTAGAGAAATGTAAATAATAGACACATGAGGAAGCCAGAACATAATGTGTTCTGCCATTATCAATAGTAAATTGGTGTTAATGGTTTTCTTGTATATAAAGTGGCTTCCATAATTCCCTACGGGGAAGAGCAAATATTTATAGCTATCACTGGATTTCTGGCTCTTAATAGAGCTTCTAGAAAAATTCCTTAAAAATAAGGAGAGAGGAAAGAGTGGCCAGCCAATAAACACAGGCTTGCCTCCCAGAATATATTTATTTTTCTTACAACTTTATCTGTCTTATTAGATGTCACTCTGAATGGTTATGAGTAACAGTATATCACTGGCCGTCACAGAATGTACCATGACTTTAGCCAAATCTTTGAACTATTGTGGAATATGTTTCTTTCCTTGCATAGTGAAGTGTGTGTCTGTAGCCACATAACCCCAGGGACATAGCCTTGTCATGCTTCAGGTAGAATAAGTTAACCCTGGGCATTTTGTTGCTCTGAAATCTCAGCGCAGTTGACAGTATGCTGCTACTGTCAGTTTCTGTAGCTGCCTGACACCACTTGAGAGGTTGGCTGCCTCACTGTTTATCACCATCTTCTGTAGTCACTTCCCGGGGGACCTTGTCCTCAAATACAATCTCTACCAATGCCCTCCTGCTCAGAATACACAATGTTTTCTTGAATGTTATTAAAAATTGAGTATGTGTAATTTTCCAAATTTGGTACATTTCAAACCATGAACAACAGATTCTGCTTCAGTATGACCTGGAGTCTTATAAGCACTTCCTCTCTCTGGGACATGCCCCAGGATTATTGGATAAAACCCTCTGAGGCCACGTGACCCTGCAGCCCCACTTCTATGTGCATATTCAACAGACTTGAAGAAACAGTGTCTGCCTACATTCACAGCAGCATTATATTAAGCACAAGGCCACAAAAAATAGTATATTATGTACCCTTAAAATGTTCTAACAAGCACTACCAGCTAGATGAACACCAAAGGCATTGCGTTAGTAAAGTAAAAGAAGAGCATGAAAAGACAATCCCTGTGTGACTCTATATCCGAAGCAGTCTAATTTACAAAGCCTGAAAGGGGAACTTTTTCCCTGTTGCAGGATGCTAGCTTTGGGAGAGCTGCTCTTCTGCTTGACACCACTGAACTTCACCCTTGAAAACTTAATGTTCTGTTTATAAAT